TTTTTGCTTATGTGGTGCTGAGGAATCGAACCCAGGGCCTCATGCATGCAAGGCAAGCGTTCTACCACTGAGCCACCTTCCCAGCTCCTAGAATATTTTCTATATTGACTTGGAAATGCTAGGATTTTTTGGAATATTTTCATATTAGGAATGGCTCATTTGGTTGAACACTTAGTACTCTACCTTGCTCCACTTCACTTTCAATGGTGACTAGTGTCCCCCCATTTTCAACACAGAAGTCGCGAGCTCCAGTCCAGTTCTTAAGATTGCTTGGGTCTTCGGGGATCCTCACCAAAAAGCACTATCAAAAAACACAAAATAGTGTTTATTCTTATACTTTAGTAAGTGAATTAAAAATTTCCCATGCAAGATCAGGCTAGAAAAAAATACGTTTTTATTGGACAAAAGAACTCCCCCCTCCGCTCAACTGCTTCAAATGCACCAAAGTGATCTAAACAAGAGCAGCTTTCAAGGCAAATGAGTGACTTGTCTGCATTCATATTAGGCAAAACAGATTATATCACAGGCTTTCTGCTCTCTGCGAGCACTCTTCCTAAAACAGTTAGTTCACTTGCAAAGTTTACAGTGACAGGTTTCATCCCCCAAAGAAATCTATGAGGGGGCAATGAGGGCTTAGTTACAATTTACTTACAAGCACATACTTCCTCACTTTAAGTAGGAGGAAATATGGTAAATTAAATCACACCAGGTAGTTGAATCTATTAAATGCTCAGTTGGCCATTTGGTCAGTCACTGCCTTAGGAAGAGCCAGAAAAGTGGGAAAAAAATGAGCCCACTGTGGGGAGAAACAAGGGCAAGACTTAAAGAATCCTAGGAGGAAGGAGAAACAGAGGAGGCTGGCCATCAATGCTATCAAAAGGCATAGAGATAGACTGTGGGATTTGCCATGTTGATTCTTGTTCAGGAGAGGTTCCTGTCTGTAAATGTTTCTTTATGTGAGATGGAAAAAGAAATAGAATGGTTCTTACTAGGCAGGAGTGGTATGAAGATAAGCTTTCCTCCCAACTCAAGAACTCAGGGTAATTTAAGCATGTTAGTAGAACCAACAGGAGTTATCCAAGAGGGAAAGATAGAAGAGAAAGGCATACCAGATTGAACTAAGTGCCAGGGAAGTCAGAGAGTATGCAAATGCAAAGGATTTTTCCCTTTGGGATTCATTAGGATTCATCTCTCATGACTAATTTGCTCATCAATGAACATAGCCAAGCTTGGTCATTGATAGGCCAAATCCCAAGATCATCCTATGGAGAAAATCTCACTTATAGAATAATTCCAAGTTATGGTTAACTGGAGATAAGAATCTCATGAACTTTCCTGCCTGGGCTGGTTTTGAACTACAATCTTCAGATATCAGCCTCCTGAGTAGCTACGATTACAGATACTGGTGAGCCCCATGGCCTGGCTCCTTAATTCTTTAATTTCTAAATTTGTCAACTTCCCATCCCTTCCTCACTATCATAAATTCCTTAAATTTAGAAGACTAAGTCTAACTTCTCTTTGAACAGCACATCAGAGAAGATCCTTGGTAAGTATTTATGGAACAAAAATCTAAAACTATAGACCCTGAAATGGTTATCAGATTGTTAGCTGCTAAGTGAAGCAGACACATGTAGGGGCAAACTACTACATTAAAATACCTTCAAAGTGTTCTTTTCCTTTGTTTCAGCTAAAACTTTTGGAGAAAACTTAAGAAAACTCAACCAAGAATTACCAAGAGACTCTCATTCTTTTGGGTACCTAGAACAGATTTACATCATTTGTAGCGTCCATCTTTGTGACCCTAAAACTGACTGTGCCCAGAATGTGCTCATAGAATGATGGCTTTCTCTGACCTCAGGCTGAGCATGCTCTTAAATGTCTGCCCCTAAAGTGTTTTCTGTATGACTTTGTATAAATTGCCCAATATAAATCCCACTGCTTTGTTTCTTGGGGAAAGAATTGCTTTTGGAAATCAACCTAGTGCTCTTCTTCTTCTTCTTTTTAATATATATTTTTTTATTATCAAGGTGATATACAGAGGGGTTACAGTTACATAAGTAAGGTAATAAATCCATTTCTTGTCACACTTGTTACCACTTCCCTCATTTTTTTCTCCCGCTTTTCCCACTCTTAAATTCTGGTTGTGCTTTTTGACTGAGTTCACAGAGATACAAACCCATAGCATTTAGTTATAAAATGGCACTCTTAAGCAAACTTGATTTCATCCATTGCTTCTCACACAAGGAAATTTTTTTCCCCTTATGGGATATTTTGTCAAGATTTGGAGGCTTTGATTTTTGTTGTTACAACTGAAAAGATGGTTGCTTTTGACATCAGCAGATTTGCCAGGATTGTTAAACTCCCAACAAAGTTCGGCTCAGGCCAGAACATTATCCAACCCCAAATGTTAGGGTCAAGATCATTCTTTTCAAAGGGCAGTTCAGAATAAACCAGCCAGGGCTTTCTCACTGCTTTTAGGATAAAAACAAGAAACCCTGATCCAGCTGAAAGCTGAGGTACCAATCAAGAGAGGAAATGCATTTCAATTCTTCTGGTCCCTTTCTTCTTGTTTGCTTCACAAAGAAACTGAATTGGCTTTAAAGGAGTTTAATTTTTATAACAACTACCCTTTTATCTGTTCCTTTTCAGTTTTGTCTTTTTCTTCTAATTACAATTTCCAAGGAGTGGCACACACTAATTATTAAAGTCTTATCATTTAATGCAAATCCACCTTGTGTTCAGATAGTCACTCTAATGAACCATTCATATATACCAATGGACTTCATTGGTTCAATAAACACCCGCCCTGCTCCCTCCACCTGCCCACATTTCCTTCAGCTAAGGTTTACTAGCTTGAAGTGTGGTTTCCAACTACCACAACTTCATTGTTTCTAAAATCACACTTCTGATGTTGAATAGTGATATTAATAATTAAATCAAAGCAGCAGGATGAAGTACAGCATCCTTAATGTTATATTGTTTGCTTACCAATTTGCAGTGTGTGATCTAATTTAATGCATCTCTAATTGCAAGTATGAATTAAGAAGGGCTGTATTCAAACAAGTTTTTAATATAAAACTTTTCAGTGTATCAAACATTTCTAGCTCAACATTTTGAAATGGAATTCAAGATATTCCTCCAACTCTCGTCTCTTTCTCAGTGTTCCTAATAACAATGAATGGCACAGTCACACACAGTGATCTAAGTCTGAAACCTGGGGCCATTGCCACCCTTACTATCATCCTTTTAGCTCTCAATTAGACATCTCATTTCTCAAAGAACACAGCTCTTTCTGTATTCTCACATGACAACTACACCACCATCTTAGCCCAAGTTACTCAACTTTCCCCTGGACTTCTGCAGTAGCTACCAAAATGTTCTTACCTTTCTCACCTTGGCCTACTCTTAATATATCCTTGCCACTGCATGAGTGGTGCTTTTCATAATTTGGTCCTGGTTATTTTTCTCTTGTTAAAAACTATTCAGGGGCTTCCCTTTGTTCTTAGAAAACAAACCAGAAACATTCACACAATATTACTTGTATCTATTTCTTTGATCTTATCTTCTATTATAGTGCTCTATGCTTCATTGAGTTCCTTAAATGTCTTAGTTCTTCTCACCACAGGACCTTAGTACATTCTGCTCTGTTCTACATATGTATGTATGTATGTATGTATGTATGTATGTATTGCTAGTACTAGAGCTTGAACTCAAGGCCAGAGCATTGTCCCTTACCTTTTTTGTTCAAGGCTGGTGCCTTGAGCCACAGCTCCTACTTCTAGATTTTTTTTGGTAATTAATTGTAGATGAGAGTCTTACGGACTTTGCTGTCTTAGCTCTCAGCTTCCTCAATGGCTAGGATTACAGGCCACTGGTACCTGGCTTTTTGTTTTCCTAATGATCCACAACTTCTGACCTTTCAGTTTTTTCTCTGTGTGTGTGTGTGTATAAACATATATATACAAATTAAATAAATCTATGTAATATATATTTTTAATTTAATTTAAATTTTTTGTACTAGTTCTAGGACTTGAACTCAGGGTCTCGGCACTGTCCCTGAGCTCTTTTGCTCAAGGACAGCATTCTGCCATTGAGCCACAGCTCCACTTCACCGTTTTAGTCATAAACCAGCGATAGAAGTCTTATGGATTTTCCTGCCCAAGCTGTTGTTCAACTGTGATCCTCAGATCTCAGCTTCTGGAGTAGCTAGGATTACAGACATAAGCCACTGTTGTCCGGCCTGTGAGATATTTTTATAGAATTCTGTAACTTTTGTCTACATAAGATATTGGAGGTTGAACTTAAGGCCTCTTGTCTACTAGGTAAGTGGTCTAGCACTTAAGCCATGCCCCTTAATTCTTTACTTTTATTTATCTGTTTAGCTGGTAGTTTTGTTTAGTACTGGAGTTTGAACTCTGGGCTTGTGCTTGCTAGGTAATCTGTTAAGTGTTTTGGATAGTTTTTCAGATGGGGTCTGGCACTAATTTTATCTGGGCTGACCTATAACCATGATGCTTCTCCTTTACCTCTGAGTAACTAGGATTATAGAAAGGTTCTATCATGCTCAGGTAAATGGTATAGCTTTATCAAAAGGTGCTGCGGAGTGGAGAAATATGATGCCAAAGAGAATAAAGTTAGCATAGAAAACTGCAGTGTATACTACAGTTTTAAGTCATAGTTGTTTTGTCATTGATTTCCTAAAGATTTCCTTCTAGTATGTAAGCTCTGAAAGTATTGTGTCTATAGTTGAACGAATCAATATAATTTTAGGTTTGAATAAAGTCTTAAGAAAAAAAGAGTATTTAAAAAATATACATAAAATGAAATATTGATTATCTGTAGCTATATGTTGCAAGGTGGAATTTTATTCCAGGTTTGGAGTAACACATAGACACACACCACACTTAGAATTTCTTCCTCTTACAGTTTTGCTGGAATAAGAATTTTAGATGATTTCCCCTTGTCAAGCTTCTTTTAAATTGTTAAAAGACATTATCAAACATGGACAAAATTATTTGTAAGACATTGGTAAAAATGCTTAATTTCTGGATGAATTTTAAAAATTCTCAATCTGTAAGTTCTTTTGAATAACAAATAGTCCCAGGAAGTTGACAAATATGAAGTTTAATGGGATATCCCTTAATATTGTCCTAATTCAGAATTTCACGATAAGGCCTAACATTGTTATCTCCTAGATTTTCTTCTGTCACGTTATTAACCATTCTTTCTGGACCTTCAGTCCTCCTGTTAGCAACTTTTAGAATCATCTGGTAAACCATAGTAGTCCTCTCTTACCCATGA